CATTCCCCCTGCGTGACCGTGAAGATGCAGCAGCAATAGTGCGATGCGGCTCTTCTCCGAGTCCTACCCCACCCTTCTGCCTTTTAGTGAACCGCTTAAGTGAGATGACTAATTTAAAATTTGTTTTTTCCGCTCCGCGGGGAAGAACTTTGCATGCAGCATGCAGTTTGGCTTTGGTAAGCATTGACCTCTGAAGACTTCTTTTCTGGTGTACACGCTCGCATTAGGTGAGGTCTGAGTACATTTGAGTCTTGGCTATTTCTGACAAGAGGCACAATGACATAATTACACGATGACAAAGTTCCTTTCTGGGGGTGACAGAGCCTTGGAGCAAAGGTAACTGTTGCCCCCAAATTACGCCTTCTCTCTCTGGCCCAAACGTTGCTGGAAGAAGTCAGAAATTAAGCAGAAGGAAATTTTTTCCCCTTAATCCCCTGGTGCTCAACTGGGGGAAAACGGCCATTGCGGTGGGGAATGAAAGAGCATATTGTGCTTGCCGCTGCCTCCTCGTTTCCCTTGTGTGTCCCCTTCCTCATCACACCCCTAGCCCCCAGCCCGAAATCTGGAAAGAGGCTTTGCAAGTTCCACTTCAATATTTCAGACGGCTACAATGGATTTTGCAGCTCAATGTTAAGTAAACAGACCTTGCTTAAGCCTGGACTGCTTCATTTTGACTAAACCCTAACTAAATAAGCTAGTTTCATGAAGCACAGGCCTCGCAGCTTATTTCTTGCTTCATTAACACCTTTTAATCCCATCGAGACAATCGTGTGCCCCCCAAATTACCCTTCCCAGGCCTGGGTCAGCGTCCTCTCCGTGCCATGGCAGGTCAGAGAGGTTCTCAAATAACCTGCTGCTCGGCTCGTCCCCATCTGGAGAGCTGGGAGCTGGGCTGCCACTTCTCCTCCGGAGCCATGGGCAGAGCGAGCGGCACCCTGAGCCGCGACGGGGTTGCTCTGCAAGGATCAGTGGAGAGCTGGGCACTGGGGTGTTTTACTAGGGCGAAAGTCTGAGAAATTAAGCCCATGAAATGTGTCTAAAAAGACGTAGAAAGATCTCAGAGCTCCCCAGCTGTGTGCAAAAGCCAGGCAGATGCACATGGTCGTTTTGCTGCGATTCCTCTTCCCGCTGCTCCGTGTTTTGAAACTTTACCGAATTTCTCTGGGGGAAATTAATTACACACTGGGCTCTCCACAGCTGTTTTGTTATTAAAAAAAAAGCAAATTGTTAATGGTAAAAAAGAGGCAGTGAAGCTGTAGGTAGGGTGAGGGAATCAAATAATGGAATTGTTTTCCACAGAGTGTGTAACTCCTTGCTACAGGATGCTGTTGGGACCAAGATTTCCGCAAGCTTCAAGATGATGTCGGGCATTGCAGTAATGTCGAGGCATAAAAGAGAAAGAGAGAAATAGCGTTGGGACGTTCAAGGCATTGCTGCACGTGCTCCTGCCAGCCATGCGGCCCCAGAGCTGGCCTCAAATACCTCCTGGCAGGAAGAGTGTGGGCAGCCAGTGAATTTGGCCTCCAGCCCAGCATCAAAGCTCCCTTTAAGATACCGTGTATCTTCATCCTTGCCTGGGTGACACGTGCTGTCTCCGAGTTGGCAAATGGTACAGATGTGCTTGCCCTTTATGGGGCAGCCGCCAGGCTACGATTCTGCCCGCAGCGACGGTCCTCTTGCCTCGAGTGTCCACCAGCATGAAGAACCAGCTGCCAAAAACTCTGCTTGTAGCCCCAAGCCTCTCCCACGACGCTGACTTGCGAGTAACCGTTCCACTTGCTCCAGAGCTGCCTTCTTTGCAATTCCCAAAGACGTTCCTGCTTATAAGCCCATCTGCCTTCCTCCTACTGACACTTTTTCCATCAAGGGGAGCAACCCCCGGCAGGAAAATCAAATTCTATCATTTGCAAAGGTAATTAATTTGAGGCAAGCTGGTAAGAAGGACGTGGGATATGTACCTGGATGCATGCACTTGCCTCTACTTGCTGGATGGTTTCTGAACGTTCGCAGGAGCGAACCTCCTTACCACCTTACCACCTCCTCACCGCCTTACCACACCTCCCGTAAGGACATCTTGAACAGAAATCAAACTCAGATGGGATTTTGAGGAAACAAGAGTGTTAAGACCATGGGGAGACTTGGTCAAAATAGAAGTGGAGGCACGTGGACTATGAGGCTCAGGCAACATGAGGGTCTTTCCAAAAGAAGTCGGGTGTAGTTGTTGTGGGTTGCAGGCACTTAGAAGTGGTCCTGCTGCTGCCGAGGCTCTGCTCCTCTCCGGGAGCATGCAGAGACCTCGCTTGTGTCACTGCTGTTCCTAAAGGTGCTTTTCATTATGAACCTGGGAACAGGCTTGTTTTTCGGACTGCCCGTCAGCGTAGTTCCTGCAAGCAGCCGCTTCTAGACATCGTGTAGCCGCGTCCACAGCACAGCCTCCCAAGCCTCCTTGTAACCCACTGCCAGCAACGGAGATGTATTTTGTTCCCATGGCAACCCAAACAATATTACCTTGACTTAAACGGATTCAGGCAATATTAAAACCAGCCTCTTTAGGAATTCCTGGTGTTGGAGGGGCTGAGAATTTTAATTTTGTGTAATGCGAGCTGACACCGTGTTTATGAGCTGCTTGCTGAATGTTTTCTTCAATTAGTACAAAGCAGAGCGGATTTGTTTTCGGGGCTTAGCTGGGAGATGGGAGGGTGCGGGCCTTGCGATGCCAAAAGCGTTATTGAGTTACGCTGCAGTAACGGCACTTCCCTCACCTGATAGCTGAAAAAAAAACGCTTTTCATGGAAATCTGGCACATGACAGCATCTTTAAATAAGGCTTGCTAATTGCCTCGTCCCAACAGCAGCAGGAGGAATCGGCTTGGTGCCTTGCAGGTGAATAGGTCTCCTTTCCCAGCTCTGACATCTGTTTCCACATTTCCTTGCTCTGCTCCGTCCCTCTCGCTATCAGCCTGCCTGCACAGGAGCACATCACACTCCAACCTTTCCTCTACCTGCCTTGCCCAAGCGATGTTCTGCACGTTTTCCTCAAGCAACCAGCAACATCACCGAGGACAGAAGTATAAAAGGACCCAGGGAATGCTCCAGTATCCATAGGGGTAAAAATAAAGAAAGCACAAGTGTGAAACAATACAGGGAGTTTTCCACTGGTGTTTTCCTAAACTCTCCTGTTCCTTACTTGAAGTCAGGTCAGGATATTGAAGTAAAGCTTTTGTTTGTCAGGTCTATGTTCTTAGCGTGCCTGTCCCTGGATTTGGGGCTCTGGGTGTGCTACAGGAGTAAACCCGCCGCTGAAAGATACGGTGGGAGCGGGTGGGAGCTTGGGGCTAGCTTGACTCAAAGGCAAATTATATTTGTGTCACTAGATTCAGCTACACGACAGCATATAGAAAAGCCAGGCAGATCTTTCTCTGGGGACAGTAATTCTCCCAGCCAAGATACAAAGAAAAGTCAGTACTCACTTTTAAACTGGTTGTTTGAAGGATAAAGGACAGAAACCTGGCAAGGAGAACAGTCTGATGACCCAAATCGGCATAACTACTCGTAAGTGGTTCTCAAGAAGATAGACGTGACAAAGTCTAGTTGCTGGGCATGGAATAAAGGACGATTCAAATCGGAAATAAGGAACAAGGAGCTAGTTAGCCTCTGGAACGTCGTCCACGTGGATGCGGACAGATCCTGCTCCACTCGCAGCCTCCAGCCTGCGACTGGCTGGCCTTCGCTGTACATCCACCACGGGCGTGAGGTGGGAATCCCCGGGCGAGATTCTCCGGGTTGCAATGAACATGGGGCAGACTACATCACCATTATCTTCCATCTGGGCTTAAGGTCCAGGAACATTACTAACTTAACGTTTAGTGATATGTCGCATGTTCCCGACTGATCCCAGATAGCCGTGACCGCGGATTGGCTCTGCTGTTGGGTCTTTTTTGTTCCTTTTAGTATTTCACTTCTGCTGTAACAGAAGGATGCTGGTGTTTGGAAAGGGGCAGATTTGGACTCAGCTCAGATTCGGACTGGGATCGTGCCTGGAACACGCTCCCAGTTTGCTCCTTCGTTAAGACAGTGAGAGGTTGCGGTTAAAAGGCTGCTCTTTACTCCTGGCTTTTTCAACTCGAATTCGATGATTATTTTTCAAGTGTGACTTACAGAAAGACAAAGAGGAAAGGGGGAAAGAAAGAGAGAGAGGGAGGGAGAGAGGAACATGCATGCAAACACACTCACACAAAGGAGAGAGAAATCCCACACCATTCCAGTTGGAATGTCCCAGACACTTCAGCCGAAAGCCACTGCACAGCACAAATCCATGGTGGTATTTGGAAGGGATGAGCCCACCCCTGTAAGCCTCTTCATCCTCCTCCACAGAGTTTGCCAGGAGGATTAACCCAGTCTTGTTCTCAATCCCAGTTTATGAGTTCCCTGCTGGTGGGGAAGATCCTGTGTGTTTAAACAACAGCCTAATTAATCCCTATTTTATTACTTTCTCTTGTCAAGTGGCTAAATAGAAGCTGTCAGCCGGCAGCCACCACTGCTCACATTTGTTTAGATCCCAAATTACTTCATCAGAACCATCTGCTCTGTACACGGGGCGCTCAGCAGTTGTTTATTTCTCTCTCTGGACACGGTGTGGGGCACAAACAGCCTCTCCTGGGGGACTCCCTGCACAAGGCTCCTCCAGGCCCTGGGGATGGTCCTGGAGGGGTCCATAAAGTCCTCTCACTAGGAGCGACCTAACAAAGCCAGGCAGCGAACAGCCCTAGAGAGGAAGAGGGGACACAGAGCTCTGTCCTGGTGGGCCAAGCAAGTTCGTGTTCCTCCCTGGGGCTAAGGAAGGTCAGAAAGCCCCAAAGCCCAGCTGGGATGCACGCTTCTTGCGGGGACATGCTAGAACAGCTCCAGAGATCCAGCCCCTTCTTCCCTTGGCTTTCTGAGCCTCGACCCAGGGCTGATCTTCCTTGCCCAAGTGTCTAACCGCCAGGACCTTCTTTGCAGGCTGTTCCAGACCAAGTGCAGCAGCTGCTTGAAGGTGATCGCCCCTTCCGAGCTCATCATGCGGGTGCTGGAGAACGTCTACCACGTGCACTGCTTCTACTGCTGCGAGTGTGAGCGGCGCCTGCAGCGGGGAGACGAGTTTGTGCTCAAGGAGGGGCAGCTGCTGTGCCGCAGTGACTACGAGAAGGAGAAGGAGATGCTGAGCGCTATCAGCCCCGCACCCACTGAGTCCGGTGAGGGGCTGGAGCGGTGCTGAGGGTGGGGAACCAGGGTGAACCTCGCAGAGGGCAGGAACTGCCTGGTCCCCAATTAACTACAGGGAAGGCTTCAGAGGGAGGAGATGTGGGTAGGTGGAGGTTGTAGCATCTTTTCCCCTTGCTGATAGGCAGCCAAGGGGATACCAGGCTGCTGAGATCCACTTGGCGGATCTGAAGAGTTTGGGTGGGCTGCTCTGAGACATTACAGAATGGATGATACGGGGCCAGGGTGGCCCACCAGCTCTGTCTCTGAATTGACAGTGTTCCCCTGAGCCACAGCTCAGCCCACAAGCTTTGCTGGCGTTGTTCTGCACTTCTGCTCTAAGCTGCACCTTGGAAGGAACAAAACTCCGGCAAGTTTCTCTGAATCCTTGCCCTGGGAGATGGCCCGGAAAGGCCACTCTCTGCTGAATCACTGCTACTGATCTTCCATTGCAGTGAAAAGCGAGGATGAAGACGGCAGCCACTCGCACGGCAAAGGCAGCGAGGACAGCAAAGACCACAAGCGCTCCAAGCGCCCGCGCACCATCCTTACCACACAGCAGCGTCGGGCATTCAAGGCCTCGTTCGAGGTTTCCTCAAAACCTTGCAGAAAGGTATAAGGAAGCCACTCAGCACAACTGCTGGCTTGGATCCTTTTAAGTGCAACTTAAGTTCTGATTCAGCTCTCCGGGTTTTGTGGACAGGTAAGAGAGACCCTGGCAGCCGAGACGGGCTTGACCGTGCGGGTGGTACAGGTCTGGTTCCAGAACCAAAGAGCCAAGGTGAGTGACAGTTCCCGTGCCACAGCTGGGTTCTGCATACCTGTGGGATGTCATGCTCGCTCGGTCAATTAAAAGGAAATGTAGCATAGCTTAGAAAAAGAGAAAATGGTGAGAAGAACAGCTACACAGGACCATCCACAGGTCCACCTAGTCCTACAACATGTATCCAGTAGTAGCAAAAGCTTAAAGAGAAATACAAGAATTGATTATAGATGTTCGCAGGGCTTAACATTTTTCATGTTTTGGGGTTTTTTTTGATTACTCTTTTTCTACTTGCTTTTCCCCCCTCACTATAGAAAGACTATAAAGATTTCCCACATCTTTTTTCTAGAAGTTGAAACATTTCTAATTTTGCAGAATTTAAAGAGTGAAAACAGAAAATATGTGGCTTTGGAAACCTCACTTTGTAGTAAACCAAAGTCCTTTGTTTTTTAAACTGCAAAGAGCATCTCCCAGAAAGATAGCACAGGCTTTTCTGTCAGCCCTGTTTCTCACACAGGGATGGCTGCAGAGCACGATGACTGCAGAGGAGTCACTCAGAGGAGTCCGAGCAGGGTTGTATCACGGCAGTGCTTGGTCTCAGTGAAAGGCAGGCGACAGCGGTCCGCTGCTGTGTTAAACGCAACCCACTCCCCTCCTCTCAGTCAGAACCTCAAATCCGGGGTCTCCGTCTCCTTGCAGATGAAGAAGATTGCTCGCAGGCAACAACAGCAGCAGCAGCAACAGCAGGAGCAAGACCAGCTGGGCAATCCTCGCTTAGGGACCGGGAGAGGGACCGGTCGCAACAGCAGGCAGAGCAATGATGACAGCGAAGGTGAGGAGCCGCTGCGCACAGTGACAGCTCTGGGGGCTGCAGGCTGGGACAGAGGGGATTGACTCGGAGGTATTTGAGAGAGAATGTGCGCAGGAAGAGATTAGCAGAAAGCAGGCAGGTTGTCACTGAATTGGTATGTACAAGCTGGAATAACTAGGTAACGTTCAGCAAGACCCGTGGGTAGTCGTGACGCAGCACGTATCTCCTCTTTTTGAGAAGGCGATGGGTTTTTTCCCTTGCACGTATGCACAGAGCCCAGCGCTGTGCAGTGCTGGTCCAGAGTGAGACCACCAAGTCTTGCTTCGGCAACGGGAACAATGTTAGTGCGACAGGGCTCTGCTCCGCTGCGTGCCGCGCACCCTTTGCTTCAACCCATCCCACTGGTTGTGTCTTTAGACGGCGCAAGCGTTCACGGCCTGGATGGGCTCATGGTCCCCTACCCCAGGATCCCCCAGCAGCAGCTGCTGCCCCTCGACCAGAATGGCTACAGCACAGACCTGTACAGACAAGGGCTGACGCCGCCCCAGCTGCCAGGAGACCATCTGCACCCCTACGGTAGGAGAGTGCTGTGGAGGTTGCCCTGTCTCTGCACCAAAGCTGCACGTAGCGGTCCAAATCATGAAAAGCCAACTCTGCTGTGACTGCTGACGAAGCCAGCAGCGGTGTGTGCTCCGCAGGACTTGGGCTTTGGGCTGAGCCTTTCACAGAAGTTCTGCTAGGGGCCAGGGAGCAAGGCTGGGGTCTTTCCTCCATCCAGCGTGAAATATTTGGGTGAAGGAGGAAAGAGTTATGCCTAAAGCTGGTCCTGTGTGTGGGGCTCACCTCATAGCACGCTGACCATTGCTCCAGGCGAAATATGGCCCTGCCATCACACTTTTTTTGTGCTGCAGCTCCCCAGGGGACATGCTTACGCCACACTCACATTCATTTCCCTTTCCTTCCTCTTCTAGACTCAGAAGGAGTTTTTCACGATATGGACAGTGACAGCATCAGCCACCTGGGAGACTGCCTGCTGTCAACGGCTGAAGCCAACCTCCTCCAAGCCCGCGTGGGCAACCCCATTGACCGACTCTACTCCATGCAGAGCTCCTACTTCACATCCTGACCATAGAAAAGCTCCCAACTCTTCACGAGTATCTCGGATGGATGCTGCTTCAAATTCAGAACAAGGGTGAGGGAGAAGAAACAAGACTGAGACCTTCACAGACATTCCTTGAGCACTGCACAAGGGAGGAGGCAACTAGGTCCGCCAGACATATAAGCACTAATTCATGGAGACCTTTCACAGCCTGAAGGACACTGGATCGCGCCTCTCCTTTTTTCTAGCCACGAGTAGATCGATGGTACAATGTTGTTTAGCTGTAACTTTAGCAGTTTGTCCAGTGTTTAAGCTTTTGAGCATTATGTCCTGCAAACAAAGACTGGCCAAGCTAACCAGAGCTGCCCCTAGAAATAGGAGGTGCCCTTCCCACAAGAACTCCACTTATTTAAGTTTTGGTTGCAGCTGAGCTGCTCACTGTGCTGTTTTGCCTCATGTCCCAATCCAGATGCAGACTTCATGGGACAAGGTTAATTTTCAGCAGCAAAATCCAAGGTCCTGAGACATCTCTAAAGGATGCCACTACCGCTTCAGAGATTTTCTACATGGTTGTCAATCAGTTGGCCCAGGACGTTTTTTTAACGTTTGACATTTCAGCAATGCACAGTAGTTTGGCCCCTGATTGAAAGGGCTATGCTCGGGTATCTGCTTCAAGAAACAACACAATATTTATCCTCTGGCATGTTCAAGGATGCCAAGAGAAGTGTAACATACCCACAGCGAGTTCTCTATCACCTTTATGTCTGTCTGTCTCCACAAGAGTTTTACTCCCTTTATGGACAGAACAAAGACTTATTCTCACAAAATAACAGAATTAGCCACACTAATTTTTGTTTGTTTCTTTTTTAAAACAGCGAAGTGAAACAATCTTACTCTCAAAATATTCCTGCTAGAAAGCCCTTCCTCTGTAGGTCTGTCCACAGAGGGACTTCCCACCCCGACTGCACGCCCAGTTCAATTAAGGCATCCTCGCACCTCGCTTCCCTCCAGCAAGTGATGGGAGAAGGAAACTGGATTGCATTATGCCATAACGTGTCCCCGCCGAGTCACTTAACTCCAAGAGGCTACGTTTGGTTTTCGTTTCAAGGGCAACCGAGGGGTGACATCAGGACTTGGCCAAGAAGCACGTCTCCACTGTGGATAGCAAGGAATAATCCATTTTCTCCATTCATCATCTTGCCAGGAGGCAGGCGAGTTACGAGAAGCAGGCGGCCACCAAAGTGTATACCCTCAAAAAAGGCAAGAAAGAGAGAGCAGAGAATGGAAGTGTGAATTATTACCAAAGGGAAATTCTTTATTCTCCTACCTAGGACCCAAGCCTGGGATTTGGTTCCTTATATACGTGAAGGACAGCCGGTATTCCTGGAAAGGTCAGGTTTTCCCATGAGCCTGCTTACAGCATGCCAGCTGAAGGAATACGGTCCTCCAGAACTAACCTTCCTTTGTCTATTTGAACTGAACAATTGGCAGACAACTTCAAAAGGAAATAATGACTTATTTTTAAATCTTGGATCTCCAGAGTTGTGAGTCTAGTGGTGCAACCTGAGAACCTGGCTGACTGATGTTTCTGTATGTGGTGTTTTACTTCTAAGCCTCCACAGGCTTGTCAGTCTGATTTTAAAGGTGTGTAGCCTCTCAAATGAGAAAAAAAAGAAACAAAATAAAAGAAGTGGCTAATTTTTGTTGCCTGCAGTTATGGAAGAAGATTCCCAGGAACTAAAAAATCCTGGATTTGGGGATGAAAAGGAGATGCGGTCCTGATGCATTTTGCTTTTTATCAGGACTTTTTCACCTTCTCGACTACTTATAGAGAACAGACATAAAAAATGACGTGTAACAGAACCACAGCCCTTATAAAGATCGCTCCACCGTTGCTTCACCTTTAATAAAGCTGTGTGAACGTGACACGTGCTGATGTGCAGTCACTTCCCGTTGTGTTTACAGTGCCAGGTTCTGTAGCTGGACTTGCCTTTGCTCTCAGTATCAGACAATGTCTCTCCCCAGAAGGCAGTCGTGTACCTAGTTTACTGACACTTTGACTTTTTTTTTTATGAGGGAAGGGGAAGCCTTTCGCAGAAACAGCTATTTATGACATGTTTGCCCAGATAGACAAGTTCTAGACCAAGCTGCTGCAGTTGGGTGACTTCCACCTTTGCTGTGTGGTCATCCACCCCTAAGAAACAAAAGAGAAAAACTCCTAAAGCTGTGTGTTACTTTTAGAGGCGCTTGCACTAGAGGCAGTCTCAGTTTAGATGAAGTTTTAAGAGAATGTTACAGTGAACTATGTGCAAATTGATGTTTCTCCCAAATACCAGAGCCAGCTTCACCCACTGAAACCCCACCCTCTCTTCCTTGTGATCTAGTGCTGTGATGTGCCGATGTTTTTTTTGCATGTACATTTGAAAATAAAAAAAAAAAAGCAAACTGTAAGTGGAAATCTGAAGCTTGCCTGAGCACAGTCAGACAAACCGCACGCACGAGCCACCAGCTGGCTCCCTGCAGTCCCACAACGGCTGGCCTGGGCTCCTCGGGAGGACAGCCCATCCGTCACCTTTCCCAGGAACTAGGTATCCTGGAGCAAAGGAGCAACTAGTGTTGGTTGGCGGCTGTTCATACTTTAATGGAGTCAGCAAACTCAACAGCAGGACTCACAGTTAGTTGCAAGAGGACTAGAATCCCAATGTGAATAATTAAATACGGTGAAAAGCTATGCTAGACCTGGAGCTACTGATGCAAAGGAGTCTGATGGCGACAAGGGAGTTCAAGTACAAGAGCCAGAGATGAGATTCATACCCTACAGCTAGGGGAATAAACGACCATCTGTTAGGTCGCAGGTACTCTCCCATTTTGAGGCCAGATTCTGCCTGAAATGAACAGAAAGGTGGACACCAAGTACCACAGCCAACACTGCCCGAGCCCAAAAGGCTAACAGTCTCACCAGGCAAGTCCCGCTGCTTCTCTTACCAAAGGACACAGCTGCTTTTAGCATCAACAGCCAGGTATCAGAGGTCAGTGACTGCAGGTGAATCTACTCCCAACCGTATCTTGCAGCTGGAAGTCTTCTTCTAGTGACAAGAGACTTGGGGAAATGGCGACAGGAGTGCCAGCGAGCATTAAGAGGGGAGAGGCAGAAGTAGCTTTGCATACGTATGCAGAAGGGATCTGACCCTGTGGCAACCTACGGGTATCAACATCCATCCCAGAGCACCTATGGACATCAGTGAATTAAGCCTCACGGTTATCGCAGGACTTAGGGAATGTGTACTGGTGAGGAAATAACAGCAGCAAGAGGCGAAGCCCACACTGCAGCAGAGCAAAGAACAAAATCACAGGCAGCTTGGGCAAGACCCACACTTTTTGGCTTTCCCCTTTTGCTCTGCATGGCCAAGAGACAGAACAATTGCTCTCATCAACCAGGGAGGTGCAGGTCCTTGGCTGTGACACGCCAACATATTTGCTGAGAAGAACGGCTTGGGAATGCCTGCCGCTCTCTGAAACGCCCAGGTGTGTTTCTCTCCCGTCTTTGCAGACAGGAGAAGAAAGGTGAATAAAAGCCAGTCAAGGTGACAGACTGACCACGAGATGAAAAACGCTCCCCTCTGCCCACACAATTTCCCTCGTGCTCACGAGTGACTCAAAAAATCATCTGGATGACAGCCAAGTAAAGCAAATGTGTGTGTGAATGGAATGTGGCTCCGTACAGCTCTCTGCCCTCGACAGTTGCCCATTTCAGACCCGGGCCTGCCAGCAGCACTAAATCTCTCCCTGTGACTGCAAACACCAAAGGAACACGCTGATTTATGGTTCCTTTAAGTAAGAGAAGCAGAGTGTAAAACGAGAATATTTTCTGGATGAAAAATTAAAGAGATGTTTTTGTTAGTTCCTCATTCTAAGATCGTGTGTAATTTACCTTATTGGTTTTAAAGTTCCACTTGAAAGGAAAAGTGACATCAACAGGAGTTAAAGCAACAGGCTGAAAAAAGTCCTGACACACTTAACTTCACATTCTGAGAGATCTAAACCAAGAAGAAATGGAGGAAAAACAAAGCAGAGAATTAACTAACCTAATGATCCTTGTCTTTCTCTTAGTTAAGGACATCAGAACTCCTTGCATGCACTAATTAATTATACTGCATTACTCTCCAGCCCAGTAGGTGTTATTTATTTCAGAGATGAGTAAACAGAGACATAGAACATGCTAGGACTAGCTTCTAAGGCCACACAGAAAGACAGAAAGTTAAAAAAGAAAAAAACTGACATCCAGCTTGCTTACCTACCAAGCAAAATGCGTATTTGGCTGAAAACAAGAGTCGAGAACAATTAAAAGTGGAGAAAACATAGAACCAGGAGAAGGAAACCAAGCAGAGAATGGCAAAGCCCGTGCCAGAAGACAAGAAACAGGTGGAGGGAAGGACTATAGTGGCACAAAAAGACTCGTGTCAATGCAGGATCCTTTACAACAGTTAAGCCCCAAGTGAGAACGCCTACACAAGTCTGACACTGCTTTCTTAACAGCTCTTAACCATCTTAGAACTTGTTCCTTTGGGTTCTTCTCCTTGGTACTGCAGGGCTTTAGCATTTATTTCTGGTCTGGTTTGCATTTGGGAGGATGTGAGAGGACCGATCTATCCGAATCCTGCTCTAAATATTATTGTTCCCTACCTCCTCCAAGTCTCCCACTCTGGGAAATACAGGCTTATTCACTTACTGACTTCAGCCACTTGGCATTAATTTAGCTGAATCTCTTTACAGCCTTTGGAGAGAAAGCTGAACCTACCAGTTTGACTGCCTGAGGACTTTCTGCACTTGTTCAGCTTTATGCCGTAACTGTCCTACTGTCCGGCTTCCTGCACTTGCTTCCAGAAGCCTGTCCTAATTAGACCAAGAGGTATGAGACAGTATCATAATCCTGTGGTACCAGAAATTAAGAAGCAGCCTCCCGGGTTCCCAATTCTTGTTTCATTCTCAGGTTTTCAGAGGTCTCCCTCACCAGTTTACAACTTGTG